ATATTTATGACCAAGAATCATAATACCTCCATTATTTCTATGTGCTATAGAATGATGAGTAGTATATGGGGCCCTTAGGGCATAAAGGCTCAATGAAAATTAGACTTTCTATATACCATTCTATGCGCCTTTAAATTCTCTACAGAACCATATACAGGACATTCTTGTTTTAACTAGGTCACAAAATCCAACAGGGTCCTTTATTAGATTTTAATCAATTTTTTATGAAGATAACTTTAATCAATTAAAATCGATTATAGTTCTATGGATATGATTGTTTTTATATGTAAAATTGATTATAATCAATTATTCTTTTTGTAATCGATTTTAATCGATTTTTGAATGTAATTGCGCAATTTCGAAGAAAACAATTTAAATAGGACTTCCAAACACACTTTGAATGCCGAAGTTTGGTTCATCGGCAACTTCATAGTTTCTAAATACGAGAAATAAGAAGAAGTGGTCGAAAAATATGGGTTTTGTGTTCGAATCTCGAGTAAGTCGCAAATTTTCGCGGTTTCATAAGAAAATCGATTAAAATCGATTATTTGAACAAAATCGATTAAAATCAGTTAGTAAGTAATAATAGATTAAAATCAATTAGTAAGTAATAATAGATTAAAACCGATTAACAAATGATAATAGATTAAAATCGATTAACAGGTAATGAGAGATTTAAATGGATGATTCAGTTGAAGTAATGGACGCAGATTAAAAGTGAAGAGTCATATGAGCACAGTTAATAGATGCGAAGAAATTAACGATGATTATAATCGGATGATTTTCATGAGATTTCCATCAAATTAAAAATCAAAATAAAATTGATTTTAATGGATTATTCTGTAAAAAACCCATTAAAATCAGTTGTTTTTTTATTTTTAATTTGATTAAAATCCGATGAAAATCGTCTCATTTTAATCGATTTTTAATCAAAAGAAAATTGATTAAAATCTTGATTTTTTACGATTTTTTTTTACATGGGTAACCTGGGTAAGCACAATTTCAAGGTGATTGATTAATTATTGTACTACTTAGTTGTAGATCGGCAAATCAAAGGTTACTAAGTAGAGAATCTAACCGCTAGACGGTCTAAAGAGATGCCCTCTTTGCCAAAGGACATCATGCGGCCGGATACAGAACGCTTTTTTCGAAAGATCTTCGATGTAGAATTAAATGGGCTACATTTTAGCGATGTCGACTTTTCGGAAGTCAGTACAAGACAGAAGTTTGATTGAAACACTCGCAAAATATATGTTTTGGAAATATGTCAAAAACATACTGTTTGCATTTTTTAAAGTTTCATTGGACTCTGGGAACAAAAACCAAACATAGAACTTAGTACAGCGCATCGAGATCTACCCATTACTAAATGCTCTCTTTCCGACAGACATGAAATAACAGAGAAAAAAATCGAAATATAATAACGGCTGAAAAAGGCCACTTTTCGAGGGCCATGTTAAGGGCCCTCCCCCCTCAGAAAATCCATTTTTCGGTAGTAGTCTAAGTCGAGTTTTTATTATAGGAAGATGTAGCGAAGTTTCCTCTTTGATTATACATATAAATTTTTAAGAGAAGGTCAAATTTTTACAGGATTTCGTAGGAGACTTCCACATCACTACCCGATTTTCGAAGAGATTTTTGCGATTTTTGTTATTTTGGGAAGACTACTTTTTTACTTCTATCAGCATAGAATAAACAATCTTGTATCATATAGTACGGCCTGTAGTGCTAGCTTATGCCATCTATTGCGTGCTTTCAAAAATTCCACATAAATATTATTAAAATACCATTATTTCCTGCGTTTGAATAAAAAAATCCATTTCTAAAACTTTAGCGTTTTTCTCAGAACATAGATTCCAATCAGAAAAATTGGAACTCCTCCGTCCTGTTTCGAGCTATAACCAATATTTTTCTGTTTTGAAGGTCTCAATGAGAGTAAATTTTTGTTCGAACGGATTTTTAATAGTTGGTTCCTGGACTGAGAAAAGTGGGATTTACTGTTGTTGGATCTCCATTTTTTATGCTAATTTTAAGACCATTCTACTAAAATGCTCATAAAAAATGAGCAATGCGGAATATAAAATTCTGTTCGGACAAAATTTGCGTACTGACATTGGCTTTAATTTGAAACCAGTCCGAGCTCTCTACTTCATGTTACGACGAAGTTATATCGATTCTCCTGAAGGCCAAAAGTGACCTATGAATCAGCTGAAAATCCGGTCTAGTAAGACCAATGGAGCTCAAATTTTTACCAGAAGTGTATCTCTCCAGGATCATTCATCCAGAAAAATTTCATAAGAAAAGGACCATTCTAAGTGGAAAATCGTTTCTGAGGGGTGGGGGGGCTTAAGGTACGACCAATGGTTCAACTCAAGTTGATCAAGGAGAAGGTTTTAAACCATTATATTTTAGATGGAAATATTCCATAAAGTTAGTTATCTTTCTACGGTATTGAATTCAAAATCTAAATTCCATAATGCTTTTCGATGTGTGAAAACTTTTGAATTCCCTTTCGAACGTCGCTTAAGTAGGATTTGCAACTACTTGCCATAGATGCTCGATTCAACATGGTGTCGACCAAAAAAACCAATTGGCGCCGAAAGAAGTTTTCTTCTAGGTAAACCTGTATGTTGCATATATGGGTAGCAAAGATCAAATGCATCAGTAAGAAAATTCTGAAGTTTTGAGGACAATACTGAGTAATTTGCAAGCAAAGATGCTAAGTAAACAATTTTCACTCGAACGAAATATGTTTTTGCATTAATCACAATTGTCGATCCCAAGACAGTTTCAAATCATCGTAAAAACTTCAATGGGTATTTCCATGGGATCTCTCCCAACAAATACACAAGTATCTTCAAATCTCGTGAAATCTTCAGGACTTGTAATCCGGGTTGATATGAGACTTTTGGCCGTATCAGTTTTTTTAAAATGATTGATAAACAATAGACTATCGAACATCAAAAATTTTACCCATCTGAAAAAAATTACGAAAATTACAATTTTTTGAAAAATTGACACGGCTGTTGAGGTACAGAAATATTTTAGCAATACCCACATATGATATATCATTTTAATGCTTATGGTCTCAGCTACATTTTGCTTGTCGAATTCTTCCATTTTCTCGATCTTTTCTACTATGCCATTAGTCACACATTGAGTGCAGCCGGTAAATTTTAGTGTATGCTCTTGTAGAGAAAATATACAAAGGAAAACAGAATTCCCAAGAGTAGCCAAATATAGGGTTTTGTAGAGAAGTTTTTTCCCTACAACCTACACTAAATTAGAGCTCTCGCTTTTTTAATTTTAAAAAAATTGAGACCATAAAAGATAAAAATTGTAATTTTTCATATATCAGGGTATTATCTGCAAATTTTTGTAATCAATTTGCAGTTTAGTTCGTTCAAAATGTCTTATTTCAGCGAAAACAGATTAATTATGAATATCTTAATAAGAATTAGTTTTGATTCGATATGATATATTGCACTAATAAAGTGTAACATTCATTCAAAATGAAAATATTTTAACAATGATTTTTGTAAATATTATATTATACATGAATCATATTTTTTCTTTCTTTTTTTAATACTTTGTCTTTCTAACTTTTGTCTGCGATACTCCAATCAATATAGAAAAGGTTAAAATATACTAAAAACGATTAGGAAAACGATTTTTCAAAAAAAAAAAACTTGAAGTTTGAATACATTTTAGTAGCAAAAGTACTTTCACTAACATAAATATAGGCTTTTTAAATGTTCCAGATATATTCGTCATATTACAATTTAATTACCAAATATTATTTCAATCATAATACATGACGCTCATCATTGTTTCGTAAAAGATCAAGTATCGAATTCTAACGAGCTAGATAAAATACATCTTGTCGATAAAGATTTGAATATTTCATCCAAATAACACCTGATTAATTTCAAAATTGATGTAATTTTGATTTAATGAAAGATCAATTTGAATAGTCTACATCGAAAGTCATAACGGCATCCAAGCGCAAATTTGAAGATATGATATAGTTGTGAATAGGGTGTTGTTAATTTTAGTATCTAAGAGATTATTTAGATAGAAATGTTTCATTTTTGAAGTTTGAAGGAAGAAAATAAACAGACTAGTTTACGTTAATTTTTATGACTGAACGAAATTATAAAGCATGGTCAGCATAGGCAATTTGTCGAAATTAAGCTCTATGTAATAATAATCGGCAGAGAATAAGTGAAGCCCGAACTACTCTTAAGTGAGAAAAAGTTTTTGGAATATGTTACGTATTGCTGCTTTCAAATCGAAGGTTAACATGTACAGTATGAATTCCATGCCCTTGAAAATGTGTTTTTTCGTTAAAATAGTTTTATCAAGGATGAAATAAAGAATTTTGGATGCCTAGATTTAGTTGTTTGATAAAGAATTCGCATTCTTTTTTTAACAATTTTTTGTACTTCAAAAGTTTTAGAGATTTTCTTATTCAAATCATGAATCAGTTGCGGTAATTTAAAAATGATCGTTAGATAAGTTCTGGTAGTAATTCAAAAATTTCAAATTCTCTGGAACTGGAGATTTGAAAGCATTTGATTTTACCAACACCAAGTGGGTCAAACTGATGTTTGCTTTGAATTCTTTCGAGCCATTTGGTTTTCGACAAAGGTGACCACCTTGGTTCTAGAGTTGTTTTGTGTGTATTATCTATATCAGTTTTGTTTATATAAAATACTTCGATCGGACGATTAGGCTCAAGATCACCTTTCATAACTTGGTGGTCATTAGCTTGTTTACTGTAATTGAATAGATCTTCTGGTGAAAGAAATGCTCTTTCCGGTGTACCTGTTAAAATATAACGTGTTGCACGAGATTTGATTGCAGCACCGATTCCATCAACTGGTCCTTTACCATGTGATGTAGCTGAAAACCTCCAGAAAGCTGTAAGATTAAAATCTTCTTGGTGGTAAGTGAGATTCATCATGTTTTTTGAGTTTTTGAAATGCTGACTAGCTCCATCACTCAAATAATTCCTAAGATATAAAAAAAATTAGCTTTATGTTTAATTGTTAGATTCTATACAAATATTTAAGATATACAATAATTGTTAAAACGATTTAAACTATGCTATGTAATGAGTGTTTTATGAAACACAAAATAGTGCAAATCAAATGGTAGTGAGCAAAAGAGATGCACAATCAACCTATTAAGTACTTTCGTAAAATGAGTATTCTAATATAGTTTCAGAATTAGAGCGTTCTGTTTTGATCTTTGCTTTAGAAACAAAAATTTTAAAACTCTGCTCAGGCATCTTGTGGCTGGTTAATTTGAAACCAGAAGAATTTTTTTCCGAAATCTCATTAACAGCTTCATTTGTAACGACAATTATGTTCAAACTCACAGATGTTTTATATTCGGATACCACTTTTTGATAAAATCTGCAATAGCTTTTTGAGCTTGGTAAACGAATTCAGTTGTATGTTTCATATAATCACTTATAAAAGCAAGATTTCGATAGCCTGAACCCATTTTAATATGTACTGTGAATATTGTGGCTTGCTTTTGACCCCAGTAAGAGGATTGAACTGCTGCTTGACTAAGCAGTGTGAAATTTTCAGCAAAATCAAGTTGAACGACGGCAGTACTCTTTTCCGAGGATTCTTCTTTAATTTTTTTTATATACTCTCGTTGTTCAATAGTATATAAATGACGAATTAACAATTTAGGCCACAAAGAATCGAATTTTTCAAGTAACGTTATTATAGAAGCTGTGTGCCGCTGTAATTCTGTTCTTTTGTCATTTTTCTCCCATATCATCCATGTTATATCGCTTTCTTCGTTTATTTCACAAATATTAAGTTGTTCAATGAAGAATGTTGACGGCAAATTTCAATTGCAATCTTGACATTCTCTTAGGTAACAACTAATAGTCTGCTCTTCGCAAAGCATAACTTTAATTATTGATGTTAACTCAGAACGACAGCCGGTAAGTCTATTTAACACTGTTAAAATTAAAGTAGGATTCTGATGATATTCGCAGACACAAGTCTTAATAATGAAAGAAAAAAAAATACTTTTTCAGAACACTTATATACTAAACACAAATAGTAACAAGAACATACATCGTGAGAAGTTGTTGTTTTAATCCATTTGGGCTTTAATGAACAAAACTTAGATTTTCCAACTTGCATCGATGGATTTTTCTGAATGAAGTGCTGGTAAGTCTCCATAAGTGTCATAAGCATATAACGGATAGGCTTGGGCTTTTTATTATTTTGTAAAACATCTTTTTTATTGGGCGATGCCTATAATATTCAAAAAAAAACTCGCAATTTTCAGTCAAAATTAAATGAACAATAATAAATTCCAAGAAAAAGTTATTTCTAGATTTTTTGTATATCATAAAATACTTTCAACAATGCTGAGCATTGTGAACGGCAGCTTTTCATATAAAATTAGAAATTTATTATTCAAAAAAAGTTCTCTTGAGTAAAAAATTTAATTCTTTTTAACACAAATCAAGTTTGATAAAATTTTTGTAAATCCAGCAATATGAAACAAAGCTATTTTTACATGCATCTATTATACATTTTTTATATCAAAAGAAAACTTTTTCTTACGAAGATAAGCCTAGTCAGTATTATACTACTTTTAGATACAGTACCCTACTAATTTCATCTGTATGGTAGAAATCATAAATTTGTTTTTCAATAAGTGGATCAAATGCAATATTTCCACGTAAATCTATTGGTAAAGATAAAATTTGATCCTCGTCTCTTAAATAAACACTCTAACGAGCTTGATGTTTATAACACCCAAAGAAATTCGTTATTTTAAGTCGACCCCAATTTTTTGGAGCTAAGGTGAGCAATTTTATTGTTTCCGAGTAATCACTAGCATTAATAAGGTATTTAAAATTATTAACAATCTCTGTAGAATCATCAATTGTGATATCTGGTTTATTATCATTGGAAGAATCTTCCTTCTGTCTTGCTAAACATAATTGTTCAGCTGCCTGGCGAATTAAACGAACAACATGATTGACTTTTTCACGAATCTAATTTGTGTGTCGTAAGTCTCTTATAGGTGACTGACCTACGAGTGCAAATACATTGTTTAAAAATGCCATAGATCTTTCACGATTCAAATGACTTTCTAAACGAATAACCTCTTCATCTGAATTTTCTGATGATGAAGATTCTTCATTAGGAAACTGCATCAGAGCATTTGAAATTCTTGAAATGTTCGATGCCGCTACTTTAGAAGCAGCTCGTTCAGGCAAAGATTCATCTGTATCCATGGGTGTTACAGAAACTATTCCATTGGTCAAATTGAAACCATCCTGTGCTGATTTAAAGCAAGGAGTACATAAAAAGTCATAGTCATTAAAGCTTATTCCAGATGTATTAGTCAAATAAGCGGCCAGGTCATGACTAACTCGACGTTGTCCTTTTGGATAAGTAGGCTTTTGGCCAAGTTTTCTTTTATTTTCGTGTGCAATTGAATTTGCACACCAATTCTTATACATAATACCTAACCTAATTATCAATAACAAAAGATCAATAAAATGATTCTGACAATAGGTATAACTTTACAAAAAAAATAACATGAACTATGAACGTGAACAATCACCAATTCTCAAATTTCTTTTACATACAAGTTTAAATAAATGGGTAAAAGAACATAATACATATGACTAATTCAAATATGTTAAACACCAATAGGAAGTAACATTCCCTTCTTTTACATGATACAATAAAATCTACCAGCTAGCATGAGATTTTCATTAATTGATCAAATGACTCATTTTAATTCAAAAAACAACCCTATTCACAACTATATCATATCTTCAAATTTGCGCTTGGATGCCGTTATGACTTTCGATGTAGACTATTCAAATTGATCTTTCATTAAATCAAAATTACATC